ATCTAATAATATAATATAAAAATTTCCTCCTAATATTTTTTTTTCCATTTCCCTCCAAAATAATAATTATAATAGAAAGGTGTATATATATATATTTTTTGGTTGTTGTATTGAATGCGCCTTTTTTTTTTTTTTTTTTTTGCTATCTATAATCATTCAATACAATACCAGTTTTATGCTGCTAATACTCCCCAAGATTAAGCCAGGCTTTTTTGTTGACTGCGGACAGTTTGTGTACAATCGATGGTGGAGGGGCTGCCATGACAAAATATATAATATATATATATATTTTTCGTATGTATCAAAACTAATACTATTTGATGTTGATATGAAATATTATTGGTTCTGTTGTTACTGTTACTGTTGCTGTGGTTGCTGTGGTTGTTTTTGTATGTAATGTATATATATATATATATATATATATATATATATTGTATGTATAGAAATTTGTAAAGATGCCTAACAACAGAAGAAGAGTAATAAAATAATAAAAAAAAAACAAAGAAGAAGAAGAAGAAGAAGAGCAAAAACAAAAAAAAAACAAAAAAAATAAAAACCAAAAAAGAAACCAAAAAAAAAAAAAAAAAAAAAAAAGAGTAAAAGAGTAAAAAGGAAAAAAAACCAAATAAATAAAAAAAGATCTTTTTTTTTTATATATATGTATTTTTTAAATATATAATATAATATAATACATATATATAAATATAGAATAAGAATAGAAAAAAGAAAAAAAAAAAAAAAAAGTCTGATAAAAGGGAGCGCAGACTCTTTTCTTTTTTCTTTTTTCTTTTTTATACCCGGAACCTATTTTTATTGATTTTATTTTATTTTTCGATTTCAAAACTAAAAAAAAAAAAAAAAAAAAAAAATTAAAATTTTATTATAGAATTCAATATAAATAAACAATATAAACCTATTTTTTATTTTTATTTTTATTTATATTATTTTTATTGTAATTTATGTCTCACTCTCTTATTCATTCATTTCACCCCCCTCTTTCTCCCATCCTTTCTTTCTTTATCTATCTTCACTTCCTTCCCCCCCCCTCTTCTCTTCTTTATTTTTCTCCCCCAAAAAACAAAACACAAATACTATAATAATAAAAACAAAGAAAAAGACTAGACTAGGCCATAATAGGTAATCTAAACAGAGAAGCTTTCTTTTTCTTTTTATTTTATTTACTCTGCAGGTGTATCACATGCGGTCCATCAAACTTATTATTATGCTTTATATATATTTATATTTATATGTGTTTTATAATAGTACATATAAATAAATTATAGTTGGAACTATTATTTATTTATCAAAATAAAGAAATAAACAAAAATAGTGTTCCAATGTGCTTTTCCCTCTTTTAGAAGGGTCAAAGGATGACGAAACACTTCCCTTCAATGTTGACCCCAATAAAATTAAATAAATAAATAAATAATTGATTGATTGATTGATTGATTGATTGATTATATATTTCATGACCGCCCTTTGGGTCACGTGTGCAGGCCCTGGTGTTGCAAATGATGTGTATAAGCGGGAGTAAACCTTTTTTTTTTTTTATTGCCATTACCATTACTGTTGTTGTAAGTATTGGTATTGGTATTGCGGTTGTGGTTGTTTGTTATTTATTGTTATATATACTATATTATATATTTTTACATACAAACAAACAAACACACCAAAAAAAAATTTAATTTTTTATTATTATTTTGTAATATTGATATTATTAACAACAATAGAATAAAATAAAATAAAAAAAAGGTGCTTAGTTGTAATGGCATCTAATTCATTGGTAACTGCCATTGGAAATGTTCCTTCCCTGACAAAGACTCTTGTCAGTCTATTGCTCATCATCTCCAGTACAGCCACCTATTACATCCACATCAATAAGGATCCCACTCAGGAACTAGCAAACCAAACTGATGTCTGTCCAATCCTAGGTCTTGTACCTGGACTGTAAGTTTGTCCTTAATATTATTATAAGATACCTAACCAAAAGGAAACAGAGCATTGTATCGACCATGGACATTCCTCACTGCTGCATTCTATGAAAGCAACATCTTTTCTGTAAGCCACCGACTATTAAAACAACAACATATTAATTTTATTATTGGTTAGTTGAGTGCTAGTGTGGTTGTCTTGTTGTTGTGTGGAAAATATCTTGAGAGAGCCTGGGGTAGCAGAGAGCTTTTGAAATACATTGTTATTACCGCAATCCTATCCAATGTCGTGACCTGGTTTGGACTGGTCGTGACATTTTATATCTCGGCTGATGACAAGCTTTTGTAAGTAAATAGATCCCATTACAAGAACAATGACTTATATAAAACAGGTACACGACCCAAATATGTGGCATGAGTGGCGTGTTTTCTGCATTTTTGGTTGCATTTAAACATCTTATACCTGAACACAGAATATCCATAGCTGGTCTTGTTTCTATCCGCGTAAAGGTAGTAGAAGAATCTTTGTTTTATAGAGTCCTAATGGATGTGTGGTATAGAATTTGCTGGGTGTTGCTACGGTGGCAAGTATTGTTTGTCTTGTTGCATTCCAGGCCATTGTATTCTATAATTTGGTTAATATTGGATGGGTTATTGGCTGGATTTATATCCGATTCTTTAAATACCAAGATGGAATCCGTGGTGATCACAGTGAGACCTTTGCTCTAGTCACATTTTTCCCAGAATTTATCCAGTAAGTAATAATAATGATAATAAAAAGTTATTTATTTTATTTTTGCAAGTCCTATTATTCGTATAGTGGGAATCCCAGTCTATGGTCTATTTGTTCGGCTGGGTGTGTGCCCTGTTCACACAACACAGTCCTATGATCTAGAAGGGCAGTCTGGTACACGACCTGCTGCCAACGGAACTGCCGAGGCTGAGCGACGCAGGTAAAATAATAATAATAATTAATTTTATAAATTATCGTGCCTAATATCTTCATTTGTCTAATAAATTTTAATACATGATATAAATATAATACCATTCTAGAGCTCTTGCTTTAAAAGCTTTGGATATCCGCCTTTCTTCAAAGACACCCGCCACGCAGGATGTACTGTTTGATGCAAAGGACACTGTAGCTCTTCCAACAACCACTACATCTACATTAACACCAGGACTATCAACCGAAGAATTCACACCAGAAACAAAGAGAGATTAAAATAATACATCTTTTTTATATTTTTTTGTTTTTTGCTTCCGTTGTGTTCCAAGTTTGTGACCCAAGTATAAAAACTGAAGATCATGTTCTCGATTGTATATTGACAAAAAAAAAATGATTCTTTTATTTTGTTCCACCCACAAACTGGATTATCAATCGTGACACAATCATTCAATATAATATAATATAATATAATATAATATAAATAAATTTTAAAATAAAAAAAGACTCTATTTATTTATTTACTTACTTTTGTATCACTATATACATATATTTTTATATTTTAGGCTTTTCCCTAGCCGCGTCTTTTACTTTTTATTTATTTAGTTTATGTTATACTCCGCTTATTATAATTTATTTATATGGGTGTTTTTGTTTCTTGTACCTTTAATTTTTATTTGATGCTAAATTACAGTATAATGTATATTATAAAGACTTTTATTAGATAACAAACTACCAATACACTAGTAAAGAAGGTTTAAAGAGACAAATTATTAAAGTAATTAATAAATATATGATATATTCATAATACTGTCATAATTTGATGTGGTGATCTTCTTTATTTATCGGTTTATTGATTTTAGATATTTCTCTTTTTTTTTTTTTTGACCCTTAAAAAAATTTGACAAGCAAATAAGTCCTTGAAGAAGAACATCTTTTTTCTTATTATTATTATTATTATCTTACATGATTCAACCCCCTCTTTTTTTATTTTATTTCTTTCAGGGTTCATTCTAACTCTGTGTTCTCTCTATTGCTATTAATTATTAATTACTTATTTTGTATGTGAATTTCTAGCTGAACAAAAATAAAATTCACAAATACTAGAGTACCTTTTTGGTTGACCGTGCAGCAAATAAAGAGAAAAAGAAAATGCAAGGGGGAAATAAAGATAGATTTTTATGAATTTATCTATATTTAATATATCACCTTGTTAGTTTTTTAGATCAAATAAAATAAAGCATTAAATGTAATCACGTTCATCATATTCATTATTTTATTATTTTATTGTGTCATAGATAGATAGCCAAAAAAAGACAATTCTCCTAAATATATACATATCTATATCTATCTACAAGCGTGTGTATAATTGGGGGGGAAACACAAGAGAGTCATTAGAAATAAATAAATAAATAAATAAATAAATAGAAAGTGGCTTACAATGAGATAATTAGGGTTACCTTTTTGTCCGTGATCGACAATTTTCTTTTATTACTTTCAATTGATCTGATCACTGGTTCATTACAACCTGTGGACTCTACAAACTAAACAATGTATACAATATCCAAATATTTAAGGCCAAGAAGAAGAAGAAGAAGAAGGAGAAGCTTTCTATTATCTTTAATATCAAATCAAATTAATTTATTGATTCATTAAAAAGAAAAGGGACATGTACATAATCATCAATATCATCAATATCATCATTTTCACCACTTTCGACAATACAAATTATACATATGCACGGACAAAATCAGGCATAGTTTATAAATGCGACTAATTGAACAGTAGGGGCTAGAAAATACAATAAAAATAACACACTGTGCCACGTTTACGATTCTCAAGCTGTACAAGTTAATAACAGTGGTGATGATATTATTGAATTAAAATTAAAATTACCAAAATAATAATAACAACAAGCCTTGAGTCTCTATTATATCAACTTCTTTATCTATCTGAACAACAAGAAAAGATATGTTTTTAATCAAAAATTAAAATTATAGCAGAATATTTAATATAAAAAAAAATATTAACAAAACTTTTTTTTTTTTTTTTCTTAATTTTCCCCCTTCACAAAAAAAAATAATAATAATATATATATGTGACGTCAGTAGGTACAGAAAATCAAGTGGCTTTTTGACAGCCGACCTGTCCCTTCTCTGCCCACAACAAACCCAACTGTCATTTGTTTTATAAAAAAAAAAAAAAACCAACCTCTTCTTAGTTGGTGGATTTGTGGATTTTATTATTTTTGTATTATATTTTGTTTATATATATATATACATAAAATATATCAAAAGCATAATTATCTATATATTATATATATATATATATATATATATATACATAAAATATATATATCAAAAAGTATATATATATATATAAAATATATATATCAAAAGTGTGTGTGTACGTACATTTGTGTGTGAGAGAGAGAGAGAGCGTACATAGACATATTTACATTTCTACAAATCCACACATATAATTTATTATATTATACTATAGTATATTATATTATATTATATTATATTTTATTATATTTTATTATATATTGTTATTGTTATTGTTCTTATTTCTCTCCTTTGCCTTATCATGCCTTTTCAGTCGGTGATAAAAAAAAAAGGTTGGCGGCCACAAGCCTTATCCTTTCTCGCGTCCTCTCAAGTTCTCTGCAAGAACTGTCTCTCTCGCCAATATGTCTCAGCTTCTGTCCAGACACACCGCCTCATCGACGACCAACAATTACGCAAATCAACCAAAAACATCCTAAGTTCATGGTCACCTGTCCAGACCCTGTCACAACAATTGATTCCTTCTCAATCAGTCCGTCCTCGTCTCAAACTACCCAGGCACTTCTCCAGTCTCACAAACACTGCACAGGAACCTCCTTACCACGACACTGACCTTGTTACTCAATTTAGACTTGCGCTATACCCCCCATTAGAAACACAACCACAAAACAAAAACAAAAACAACAAAAACAGAAAATCATCAGCAATCAAACAAAAGACAATCATTAGACGACAGCGAAGAAAACACCTCTTTGAGCGCTATACTGATCTCAAAAAACGTAGACTACTCAATCATCTCTCATATGAAGACTTTCGTACCCTCGTCGCAATTCTCATACCTAATCCAGACAACCAACAAGCAAAACCAATCGTACTGCAAACAATATCAGTCCTCGAAGATCTTAAACAACTCTCGGCAGACCACTCCCACCTACAGTTCTCTCTCACTGATGTCGAAACTCTCGTGTCTCTCTACAGAGAAACCGGCGCAACAAACGACGCAGCATTGTTGCTCCACAATCTCCACAGACTCGGAACAACCCCCACAGAAAGATCTTACAGTGACATGATCGCAATGCTCGCAAAAGCAGGAGATGTCGAAAGTGCCCTGGGATGGCTAAAGACAATAAAAGCATCCGGCGTCTGGCCACCCTCAAACTCAATAAAGGGCTCAATCGTCCAAGCCTGGCTCGAACTCGGCAATGACACCGCAGCAATTGACTTTTTACGGGAGCATCCCGGAGATGCTATCATTAGCACCTCAGATACGAAACCCAACTCGAATCCCAACCACAATAATAAAATTAACATCAACGACATAAACGACGACGACAAAGATGCTTTGCTGGACATGGCCCTAGACGTCTTTTTCAACGAGTCTCTCAAACGCTGGCGACTCAATGACTGTAGGGCAATCTACAGACTCAAACAAAAAAGAGGCTATTCCACATCATCGCTCTTGAGCAGACTCACCTACAAGACCATACACACCTTCCAGACCCACACATCATTGAATCTCTTGCAGGACACCCTGGATCTCAAAGACACGGCTGGGTGCGGAATAGTAGCCGGCCAGATGATTAAGTACTGCATCAGCACAAAAAACCTAGCCATGGCTGTCAACATCTGCAAACACGCGGACCATTCACAAAACAGTATCTCGGTTGACCACTACACACATCTCATAACAAAGCTTGCCCATGCTCGCTATTCTGTAGACCTGATGACCATCTACCGTCAATTCACCCAGAAATACCCACAATCTCTCTCCATCTCTCTCTACACCACCATCATCCAAGGCCTCACCGCAGCCAAGCAGTATCACAGCGCACTCCAGGTGCTTGGAGACCTGCGGCAGACTATACCCGACCATCAACTTGACGAAAATTCGTTTTTGCCGCTCTACAAGCTCTGCGCACAGGCCGGATACCTCGACCTTTTCAAACAGACCTTTGCGCTCAACAAATCGCTCGGACGACCCCTGACTCACAAAGCGTTCACCTCTCTCATGGCCTGCTACGTAACCGCCAAGGATCCAGAGTCTGCCAAGGCTGTGTTTCAGGCCATCATGGCCGAAACCAAGGGACCTGACACGGTTGACTTCAACCTTCTCATCCGTGCCACCGCGCTCGAGAAAACCGACGGCGACTCGCTCGAGAAGATCTTTGAGATCATCCGGCACATGAAGACAGCCGACATCAATCCGGACCAGACGACCTTGAGAACTCTTCTGGACATCTACAAAACCGGAGACCTGGCTGACATGCTTCTGCAGAAACTAATCAATGATCCACACGCCACCCACTCGGACAACATCTGGCTCAATAACCTGTCCATGACGCGCCTTCTCAAAAACACGCCTCCGTCAACCGTGGCCAGTATATTCCTGTCCAACAAACGCGACAAACTGCTCAAGTCGTCCACAAAAGGAGTCCCGATTGCATCGGACGGAATGTCCTACCAGATCCTGATTGACGCGCTAACCAAGAGTCCGACAAATGTCCACATAGCCGAATCACTCTACCAACACATGCACTCCCGGGGCCACAAAGCCAGCCAAAGTCTACACCATCAGATGATCCTGGCCTGGGCTAGAAAAGGCCGGATGGCGAAGGCGCGCAGGATGGTGGTGCGGATGGAAGAGGAGATTGGCGAGAAGGCAGGCATCGAAGCATTCAGTATAATCATTAGCGGCTACCTTGGACACAATCAACGGGAAAATGCGCAAAGAATCATAGATGAGGATCTGGCCCAGCGCGGACTTGTTCCTGACCAAAGATTGCTGAATATTCTTAGTGAATATGACAAGAATGGCAACATATATTCCTCATCACCCACTACTGCAATTACAACGACAACTACAACGACAACTACAACAGCTACAGCTACAGCTACAGATACAGATACAGCTACAGCTACAGATACTACTACTGACAACCCAGACAACCATGGACTGTAATAAACAATTGAAATTTTATCAAACAAACAAATTCCCTTTTCTATATATATATATATATGATTTATTAATTTATTTTCTTAAATAATAATAACAACAACAATAATAATAATTCACTCTTATTTTTTTTTACTTTTATTTTAACAAACTAAAAAAAAAAAAACAACCAGCAAAAAACGGGTCTTTGTGCCATAAATTTCTTTAGTGTACATACAATTATTTCCACCTCTCTCTTACCTACTTTTTTATTTTTTTTATTTTTTTTTTAATTTTTTAAAAAAAAAGAATAAATATTAAACTAGCATTCTAAATTTTTTTTAACAAAAATCCAAGGCAAAGATGGTCAATATATACTACCAAAAAAAAACATTCTAATATTAAGGTTTGATTCCAAAAGTATCAAGCATATTTAATTTTGTTTTGTATTGTTTTCTTGCTATTAGTATACCCAAGCAGCCATAGGTTCAGCCTTTCTTCTTCTTCTTCTTCTTTTTTTTTTTTAAAAAAAATAAATAAATAAAATAAAATAGCACAAATGTAAAATTCTATCAATACTTCCCTTGATATGAAAAAAGGAGGAAAGGAAAGAAATTTAAAAGAAAGTGATTGGGCACAATCAGATTGTGCATACATAATATATCCAAAACAGTTATCTTACCAGTAGATTTTTTTGAATGGAGCTTGAACATTTTAAAATAGTGGCTATACTACAAAAGTGGATTTTCTACTACACATCCTAAGCTGTAGTTAAACATTTTATTGGAAAATTATATTCCTAATGCCGCTGATTATATTTGAGGTTTAATATTTAAAATACAGACCAACACAAACATACCATTTATTTGGACACCCATTCTTTTCTTTCCTATAACGTAGGCAAAAATAAAAAAATAATAAAAAAAAAAAACGCCGACATTTATTTATGACGCAATAGAAAAGCCGCGCAGTACACATTGACCGCGTCAATAAGAATTTATTATACCTCACTAAAATATTCATACCCCCCTCCCTTCATATCAGTTCTCCTCTTAACCCTTTTTCGTTTTCTTCTTTTTCTTAATTTGTTTGTTTGTTTGTCTATTTGTCAACACAACAATGTCAGAAGAAGAACAAAAGGAGATTTCAGATCTGCAAAACCATGTTCCAGATCTCAATTTCTCTATCCAAGATATTTTAGACAACCATGGACCTATATCTTCAAATGACCAATCTTTCCAGTCAATTGTTCAAACAATAAATAACAACAATGACGATCACTCGCAATCGTTTGCTCATTTGCCTGCAGAACTCCAACACCTGTTTAGCTCAAATGCAACCGAGGATCTATTAGCTCCGGCGTCATCCAGTGCAGACGCGTCGCTTCTATCTCAACAGAATGTGGATGATATGGTACACATGTGGGGAAAGTCTGCAGAGACCAAACCAAACGATTCGCCTATACAACAGCAGCAACAGCCGCAGGTACAACAAATAACACAGGTACAGCACCACCATCAACAACAGGTACACCATCAGCAGCAGCTTCATCAACAGCAATTATCGCATCAACAACAGCAGCAACACCAACAGCCTCAATCACACCAGCAGCAACAGATCCAGCAGCCATCACCTCACCAGCAACATCAGCAGCACCAGCAGCCATCACCTCACCAACAGCAGCCGCATCAACAACCATCACCTCACCAGCAGCATCAACAGCCATCGCCTCACCAGCAGCATCAACAGCAGCAACCGCATCAACAGCAGCAGCAACCGCATCAACAGCAGCAGCAACCGCATCAACAGCAGCAGCAACAGCAGCAGCAGCAACAACACCAACAGCATCAACACCAACAGCAGCAACCGCATCAACAACCACATCATCAACAGCTTCAGTCGCCTCATCAACAACAAATCCAACAGTCGCCCCATCAACAGCAAATCCAACAGTCGCCCCATCCGCAACAACTTCAGTCGCCCCATCCACAGCAGCTTCAGTCGCCCCACCCTCAACAACTCCAATCACCTCATCCACAGCAGCTTCAATCACCACACGCGCAACAACTCCAATCCCCTCATCAACAACAGCTCCAGCAATCGCCTCACCAGCAGCAACAACTTCAACAATCGCCGCACCAACAACATCAGCAACATCAGCAACACCAGCAGCTATCCCACCAGCAACATCAGCAACATCAGCAACAGCAGCACCACACACCTATCATGAGCCCTCCAGTAGCAATTCCAACTCTCGCATCTTCCCAGAGCCCTATGATGCCTGGGGCACGATTGATGGCTTCACCTTCGCCCCATCCACCCAGTCATATAAAGCACCCTATGATGCCCATGGCACAGCATCATCCATCAAATCTTGCACCTACACCACCTCCTGTTGGACCTGTACAGCGTAACCCAAACCCACCATCTGCTGCTACATCTACTACTCTTCTTGACAACATTACTTCTCAGCTACCCCCTGATCGTAAAGAGAAATTCATTGAGTTATTCAGAGAGCTCCAGGTTTGTAATTTGTTTACTTTTACTTTTACTATTGCTATGATTATTATCTATTTATTTTGAAAATATGCATATGCCGATAAAGAAAATAAAAGAGAAAGAGAAAGGATAATTTTTACTGATGAATTGAGATATGTTATATAATATTAAGAACAATGCGGTGACAGCCGATCAATTTTTGCTCCAAGCCAAAATGTTGCTTGATCAGCAACACTATCAACAGTTGGAGGACCTGAAAAACAAACCAAGTGCACAGCCCAACTCAAATTCGAATAATAGCAGCAGCAGCAGCAACAACAACAACAGCAACAACAGCAACAGCAGCACTAACGCTAACAGTAACAACAGCAACATTAACACTGCAAACACAGCAAATAACAATATCAACAACAGTAACAACAACAGCAACAACAACAACAATAATATCAACAGCAATATTAACAATAACAATAACAATGCAAACACGAATCCTAACATCAGCACCGGTAACGCCAATAACAATATCAACACAAATGCAAACGCGAACCCAAATGCAAATATCAACGTCAATGTCAATGCTAATAACAGCAATAATGTTCCAGGACCATCAAACATCCGCCCACCCGTTGTACTCAACAAAAACACTGTAAACGACCCCATGGCTATGATGCAGTCAACTTTACCACTTGACACAAACGATCGTAAACGTACTATGACGAGCTCACAAGTCAGGGCAGAAGATGCACAGAGAGGGATGACAGGTCTTATGTAAGCTAGATAACATTGAAATTACCATAAATGAAACTAGAAGCGAGAAGCAAGAATCAAGAGAGAGAAAAAGATATATAGAAAGAAAGAAAGAAAGAAAGAGGGAGAGATATCTTGACAGTTTTTTCCTTTTTTTTTTGCTTTCCTTCCCTTCTTTCTATATTTCTTTTGTGTAGTACACCTCAGATGAAACGGGCAAAGACAGATCATGGGCCTATGACGATGCATTCACCCCAAAACAACCCATTACCATTGTTCAAGACACCCGCCATGCCCACACCCGGGTTACAAATCCCACGAAGCTCGATCCAAAATCCACCGTAAGTCTTGTGTGCTTGTATCTGAACTTGTAGATGCGCGTGTGGTTATGCGTGTGGTTATGCGTGTGGTTATGCGTGTGGTTATGCGTGTGGCTGTGTGTGTGTGTGTGCGTGTGCGTGTGCGTGTGTGTGTGTGTGTGTGTATGTGTATGTGTACTTAAGTACATCCGTACTTACGTCCGTACTTACGTCCGTACTTACGTCCGTGCTTATGTGTGCGTGTTCGTGTGCGTGCGCGTGTGCATGTTTATGGACAAAGAGGGCAAATATTAGTGTCGTGGTTTTGATTGTCGAATTTGTGGATTTGTAGAAAACCATCAGTCCCAGCATCATCTTCAGGTCCTTCTTCTTCTTCGGGTCCTTCGGGTGACAGGATTGATTATGATACACTCACGGATGTTATGGGCTATGCTGGCGTAGATCTCAAGGTAATTTTAATTCCCTAAACTGACTAGAGTAATGGTATCACTATTTTTAAATATAGTATTATTTGTGTATTTACATATTTATTTATATATCTACATACATACATACATACATACATACATACATACATACATACATACATACATACATACATACATAATATTTTTATTTATTTATATATATATATATATATTTCTTTGGGCTATTTTAGGAAGAAGTCGAACATTTCTTAAAGGATGGTGAAATGGTTGGCGGATCATTACCCGATGGTGTAGATCGATCCAAAATGCAGGATTTTATGAACCCAGATATGCTCAGGGACACTGTCATGAAAATGGGTAAACGCAGTGTAAATAGAGAATGATAGAGAGAAATCTCGACTATTATCATTATTATCATTATTGATATTTATCTATCTATCTATGCTGCAAACTAGCAAAACCACTCTCTATTTACAAGATCGACCCAGATTTCTTATCTTATCTGGCTTTGGCCACACAAGATAGGCTGCGACACTTGATTGAGCAGATGGTGGCTGCATCAAAGCATCGTGTGCTTTCGCAAACATTTGATGCTCCACCTGTTGATGAACATGGCCAGCCTCTTTACAAAATTATGGTTCAGCAGGATATTAAAAAACAACTGCTGGCTATAGAACGTGTGGAGCGTGAAGAAGAGCGTAAGCGAAAGGAAATCATTGCCGAACGCGAGCGCCGTGCACAACTTGGAGACAGTGATGGAATGAATGTTGATGAGGAGAACAGACCGAAAAAGAAAAAGAAGGAAAAGGAGATGGGTCCAGGTGTGACAGCCAGAAATATGAGTGAAGATATTCGTAAAAAGCACACAAACGAAACGGCTTTGATGAGTGCAGGTGGCGTGCGTAAGAGTTGGATGTTGACAGGAATGGGCAAAGACCGCATGCCAGCAGCTCCTGCACCCCCTTCTCCACCACTACAGCCACAACAAATATCCTCCCCTCAACTCCCATCCTCTCAACCCTTACCAGCGCAACCTTTACAACCTCAACCTCAAACACAACCTCAAACACAACCTCAAGCACAACCACAACCCCCAGCACAATCACAATCTCAACCTCAATCTCAAGCACAATCTCAAGCGCAACCTCAAACACAACCTCAACCTCAACCACAACCGCAACCACAACCTCAAGCACAGCCGCAACTGCAACTGCAACAACAACAACAATCACAACCACAACTACAACCGCAACCGCAATCACAATCACAATCACAATCACAATTGCAGGCGCAACCACTAGCCCAAGGCCAAGTGCAAGGTCAAAGCCAAGTGCAAAGCCAAGGGCAACCACAACAACAAATGTCAGGGTTTAATACTGCTGAAGGTATGGCAGAGGATACACCGCGTGGTCGGGGTAGACCGAGAGGACGTAAGGCAGAAGCTAGCGCCAAGCGTGGAAGAGGCCGAGGTCTTAGCGTGAATGCACTCTCTGGCCGTGATCTCGGCCGTCAAGACAACGTCGGGCTGTTCCTTCCACCTTCCACGATTGGTAGACCAAGATTAGGAGAGCAAGGATCACGTAAAGTCACTGTGCGAGATGCTATCTTCACACTTGAGCGCGACTGCCAAACTGGAAGGGGTAATGGACAACGTACGCTTCTCAAGACATACAACCAATGGCTCAAATAAAGCAAAAGCAAAAGCAAAAGCAAAAGCAAAAGCAAAAGCAAAACAAAACCAAAACCAAAACCAAAACCAAACACAAACACAAACACAAACCAAACCAAACCAAACCAAACCAAACCAAAATAAAAATAAAAATAAAAATAAAATTAAGAAAAAGGCTATTCAAATTAAACAGCAGCAGCAGCAAAAACAACAGCAGCAGCACCAACAGCAACAGCAACAGCAACAACAATACTAATAATAATAATGATAATAATATTAATAAAATAGAAGAAGAAAAAAAAAAGTCTATTTATTCTTTTGGACTTCAGTTGGGTTCGATATCCGCGCCATGAAATGAAGGGCAAAATAAATAAATAAATATAATACGCATACAAACACACACACACACACAAAAGGGGTATATAAAGTTTCAATTCTCTTGACCTTTTTTCCGTAATCTTTTACATCTTTCACTTTGATTTGTCATTAAGAATGGTTAACAGAGCCATATGGATCCGACAGCTAACCCAGCTTCTTCAAGATGAGGCCTATTTCCACCCAAGTTCTCCCCTTCCTCTGCACTTGAACTTGTCAGAGCTCTTGTTTTTACAGGCAGAACACCAGCTCGCACTGGCCGCAAAAGAGAAAGAAACAGAGGCTGCGACAGAGAAACCCAAGCGGTGGAGTCTGTGGGGCCTCAAATCCAAGAGCCAAGGTGATACGTCTGAACTATTTGATAAACTATCTAAGCTTCCCTGCCTGAGTGTAGACCGCACTGGCCCGACCATCGATGGGTTTGATGCTGAGGAGAAGACAGAGAGGGTGTCCTTGGCTAGTTTTGGCAACCTTAGTCGCCTAGTGCTGCTGCAAATCCATCCGCGCTGCATGGATGTTCCCCCCGTCACCCTGAAACACTTGGTCGTCCAACACGGCCAACTAGATGACGTTCCGGATGCTGTTGTGTGGTCACCCGATACTATTCATCTCACCTCCTTGTCGTTGGCCAACAATACCCTTGCGCGTCTCCAAAGCCTGGAATTGCTTCAGAGTCTCACACATCTCGATGTTTCGCACAATCTATTGGACCGTATTCCCGAAGCACTCTCATGTCTCTTCAATCTCCAGTACCTCAATCTTGCTCACAACAAGATATCCTCTGTGGCTGCAATTCACACCACAGTGGGGAATATCCAAGAGCTCAATCTGAGAGGAAATTCAATTCGTATCATTGACTCACTTGACAGGCTGTGGGCCATCGAACGTCTCGATTTGCGTGAGAACTGTATTGAATCTCTTGATGAGTTCAAACTACTGGCCCCCTTACCCAACCTCGAAACACTTTGGGTTCAAAGTAATCCCTGCACTGAACAAGTTGAGTTTTGAAAAAAAAAACCCCGTAACGTATTTGAAATAATGAAAGAAAAAATAATAAGAAAACTAAACTTATTTTTTATTATTATTATTTTTGCATAAAAAATGTATATATATATATATATTATATGCATATACTTATATAATTATATTATAATATATATATATATCTCTGTTTTTTAGACCGAATACCGTATTGAACTGTTTAGGATATTTGAAATGGCAGGGTCAAGGGTGATACTTGACAATGCAAAACTAACCCACCAGGAACGACTCTGGATGTCTCCTCAAAGACGAGCCAGTGATACTGCTCAGATTATCAAAGAAAAGAAACCTGTCAATGCTTGGCCAAGACCTCGCTCAATTGCTGCCTGTGATGAGGGACACACCCAGCATTCGTGTCCACCTCTAATCACTCGCTCAAAATCCCTAAAGACAAAACGTATGATTCGGCTTGGAGAACCCGTGATGCCAGCAGCCTCGTCTGTACATTCTCTCAAAGATGATACGCATGTGCTTCGAGTTGCCACGCTTGAACAAGCCGTCCAAGAAACTCAACTGTCACGCAAATCCCCGCACAAGAAACGGTCAAAATCTTCTCTCACACGTTCTATTCGTTCAGGGTCTGTAGACAGTCAAAGTCCACCGCCACTACCAAATACAGACACAGAGGCATTTCGTCGAAAAATTGAAACAATTCGTTCAGAAGCGGGTACAGAGTGGTTACGAGTGTTACAAGAGATGGATCTTGATAAAAAATAATTTCTCTTAACAATAATTCCTTTTTGTTTTCATTTTCATTTTCATTTTTTAAGTTATTAATATTAAAATTATATATACACATGTATATAATTATTTGTTGGTCTCCAACCTCAAGAGACTCTAGGCGATTAGAGCGCATAGAGTCTACTACTAAAGTTGAGTGTAGAAAACCAGAGTTTATTCTCCCATACTTTTCCCGAAGGATACAATTCACTGAAGAGAAGAGCACACAGGATATAAGCATGATTGGGTAGAGAACAAAAGGATTGCCAAGTGAGCGAGTGCTTTTATAGACAAAAAAAAATTAGTTATTCACACCAGTCGCTAATAGAAAAAAAAAATCGAAAATTTTTGTAAAGTGACTCGCACAAGTGACTGTTTCTGTGTTGTAACGATGTGTTACACAAAAGTTTGTATTAGGAACATCCTTTGCGATAACTATAAAAAAATATACACACACACCTACTCACACACAAGAGAAAAGGACAGGCGGTTTGACTTTAAGAACTTGGATAAATCAAGAGGATAAAAAGAGATCTAAAAGTAACTTCTAGCCTCTCCAGCCCAGAATTGGGTGACTTGAGTAATAGAACGAATTAATTTTAAATAATACATCTTTATTATAGCAAGCATTGTTTGTTAAGCCCAAAGAAGAAGAAAAGTGCATAGAGAACTATTAAATAATGTATTAAATTTAATGTGGTTGGTAAAGAAAGAAGTTTTGTGAGTAATTTGGCTTTTATATTTATATTTAAAGGATAACTTCTTCTTCCCTATATTAATTAATTAATTTATGCAATTATTGATCCATTTATTTAAACAAGGTTCCGGGAAGATGCTAGAAAACACATTCAATAGCTTTAATTATTTTTGTTTAGATAGCCATGACAAACCAAGATTGAGTTAAGCTGAGGTGCAGTACAGTACAGTACAGTACGATAGTATATGATAACAAAATGGTTCTTGATCCAACATTCTATAAATCAAATTTGCTCTTATCCGTTTTGCTGTAACTGATACTGAAGGATAACGGATAATTGAACAAACATAACCATGCGAGTTATAAATTAGATGCATTTGGATTAAATCTTTTGAGAGCTAATGAAGTCTCTATCAGAAAATCCAACAGAACGTGTAAGCAAGACTCTTCAGTTCAAAGTATAGGTTAATAATACTAATAATAATAAAAAATCCAAAAATAAATGCCCCTTTATTCTGTTGTCAGTGATGAGTATGACGATGATTATGAAGACGAAGATGATGACGAAGATTATTGTAATGTCAATGATTATGTCAATGATGTCAATGATATTTGAGGAATATTCTATTACTGCAGCACAGTTTTCAAAAGTAGAATACTATTTATAACGTGGTTTGCAAAAATGAAATGAAATTAAACAGTTTCGTTATTTATTAATTTAGTTTGGCTATTCCAGAACCTGTATTTTTGCTTTCTATGAGGAGGCCAATAGAATATACTTTTAAAGTCTAACTTTGAAAATCTTACCCCTTTCCCTTCTTTATCAACCCCCTCTCCTGCTTTACAGAATACACACCTGAAATTTCGAATAGCCCTTTATTTTTTATTTTATTCTTAGTCATGCAATGTAGAAAATAATAAAAAACTTGAGAAAAATGATAAGTTGTGAATTGATCCATCCATCGAAACCCCAACATACACGGACCACATAATCTTTCTCCACATTTTGAGTCTGTTTTTGGACCAATAAAATCCAAGAATTTTGTGGTTAAGAAAACTTGGAATCATGGATGTAGCAGCAGCATTGATACCTGAGGAAGTAGATTGGTTGCTAAAGTTTAACTTTTGGAAAGAGTAACCAAGGTACTGTCAAGTAGCTGTGCTGGACGAATTTTAAAATGTATATTGTTGATTGTAAGGCCCTTTTTGAAATAAGCATTAAAGAATAAAGATGCGCATAAGAAGCGTCTTAGAAAAAAGATATGACAAATAAGCAGTTAAAATAAATCTTGAGTCCTTTAAAACTTAAATTGTTGGACGAAATTCAGAAAGACATAAAGTCAGAGTATGCATCCTGACCATATCTTTACTTGTTCACTAACTGTACATTCGTGGGAGTAAACTTGACTCATGTGGCTTGTGTCGAATATCCTACGAACAGTTTGGATTTTAGGACACCGATCAGACCGCGTACGATAATGAACTTCTTTGAGACATCAGAGAGATATGATGGTGCATTAATAAATTATACTAGATTATGTATAAAAATTGACTATACGCCCACGTATTTATTGAAATACATCTTAAATACTGGTAATAATATCAAGTCGCCAAACAATACAGCAAAAACTTGAGAACGCGTAGTTAACCAACCTTTTCTTATCTTAATTCGCCGGAGCCTAAAATATGGTATCCATTGTTATAGCCCTTTAACTTTGTATTCTAGTTTGTCTGTTTTTACCTAATAAACCATGTTTGAAAAAAAAACTATCATTAAAAAGCAATCAATTGTTTTTTAGTTCTATATGCGTCACTTTGATCTAGTCTGTTTTATTAAGCATTGACAAATAATACTTTTCACAAACTTTAGCTAGAATATTGCTCAACACCACCGGATAGCAGTATCCAGCTCCTTAAGTGTTTTCTTTTTCAGATATAGATCTTGCCTTTAATCTTCTCCTGATATATTCTCGTGTATTTTCTAACGCGCCTTCTTCATCATACTCTTTAATACAAGTCAAAACGGAATTTTTACAGGAGCAGATAGTCAAAAGCAGTACAAATACAGCCAAGGTTTCAACAACAACCGAAGAGTGTAATGTCATTCAGAATTAGTTGTAACAGTACGAGCAAAAATAACTTTGAGAAGCTATTGCACTGATGCAATTAAGAATATAACACTGAAACCCTCGCCAGGAAGGTGAAGTATATAATAGTTTACTCATAGCACCAGCATAGGTAGGCATCATTAATTTGCAAAAGTTGTTTCAGATTTATATATTGATTTTGATAAGTCCAAACTCAAGCGACAGCTAGTAGGTAATGTACCCTATAGAAAAAAAAATAGGTGATTTTAGTGAATTGTTGCAAGTTTTCCGGGGTTTAAAGTGTCTTGTACTTGACTTTTAATTATGCACCAATTTCTCTCTCGCTCTCTTTTATATTCTACTTTTTTTTTTACCCCACCATGTTTTTTGCAGTCAAAGCAAAACATCTTTTTCTTAGCTTTTTCAACCCATTACAAAACTAAATACCAAGTTATTAAAATCTAATGGCTTACCAGCGGTAGCTTGGGTGGGTCCTAAGCGGTAACCAGGACGGAATTTTTTCATCTTCTTTGAATTCTAGTCAGTCTTTGTCTCAAACGACGACCCTCCTGGAGATCTTGTTCTGCTTGTCTTCTGATACGTCCAATCCGAATGACGCGGGTGAACCTTACAGGTATAGTCCCATCATATCTCAGATTGTTAAGTATATGTCGGAAGTTCAGGACAGAAGCAACATCCCGATTCCACAAACGATGCATAACCTCTGACCCGTCCATGTTCTCCAAACAATTTAGATTGGTACATCTAAAAAGGACTTGTTTCTATTTTTTTTTTCACAAGGTCTAGAATTATTAAGTGTCTTTAAAAGAAACATACTTAATAGCTATTAAGGCTAGTATTAATAAAATACGAATCAGCAAAGTTGACAAAAGAAAGTAACTTGAGAAGAATTGACAGAAAAATGTCTGCATCAAGTACAATTTGGTTGTCAAGATTGCTCGTATGCTCATTAGAAATCTCGGTAGATTTAGAGAATTGCAAGGAATCTGTCTTCTTGTTTTTCAAAAGTAGGAATCAGACATGACAATGTTAACACAAAGCAGGATTATATTCTTTGATAAAAAGAATCAATTAAGCAATATACATGCCTTCATCAATATCATAGTACTTAGAGAATGGCCTTTTTTTTTAGCTAAAAAAAAATGTAAAAAATATCACATAAAAACAGATATATGTATATTATTTAATGAATATATAGCTTAAGCTGCTACTAAATATCATAAAAATTAGTACTTCTTCTTCGCATACTTCTTTATGTTTAACTTGTATTATTTTGATCAATAAAAACCAAAAAATTCAATATAAAACATCATGCATTTGTTAAACCAATCATAAAGAGAATATAAATACCTAAAAAGGTATAGATCTGCCATATTTAGAATATTTTATTGGCTTAGATGCAAAATAATAGAAAATCCCATAAATCGTATTTGACAAAAAGTAAAACTAATAGACTAAAACAGGCATGCTATTGGCTATAAAAGTTACGAGTTCGTAACTCGTTACGAGGTCGGTATTTTAAATACTGACTTTTAAATAGCAGAAGTTACGAGTACGTAACTCGGTACGAGGTCGGAGGTATAAATCCTGCCATTTCCTACAGTGTTACTCATCAGAGACTGTTTGATAAGTTAATCATTTTGAAGCAGATGTAATGCGGGACATGGTTTAGAAACTGTATGTAGGAAAGAGTCTATGGACAGAAACCTAATTCATTCCCGCTGTTTTCTTACCTTTTTTTTTTTGGCTGACCGCCAAGTACATTTTAGAAAGCGATAGAATTGACCACCCTGACTGTATATCCAAAACATTCCATTTTGGTTTTAGTTTTTTTGAAAGTAAATGAAAAACAGAAAAAGTACAAAATAAAATGTAGATACATGGCTTTACAAAGACACATATTGGGTAGTTACACTACTTCAAATGTCGATTCTGCTTGTGTGCCAAAACACCCTTTAGCTTGGTCCACATGTTTGTCCTACTTCTAAATGGATTATTTATTTTTAAAAATAAAGAAAAAAAATTAAATGCACCAAGACAAGAAGTCTGTAGCCAAATATTATATAATAATAAGAAGCACACAAAATTACATGTGATCCAAGGGTTTCTGACTGACTGACTAACTTACTAACTGAAACATTGAAGTGATGTTATCCGATTGCACAACCTAGATAGTTCTATTGGTCAATGCAGAGAGTACAAGTCGATCGTTGTTGCCAGATTTCATTATAATCACTTCATCTTCCTTAAAGACGCTTTTACTTACACCAAAGGGTCTATTGTAAACCCGGTCCTTTCCTATCTCTTTATTTGTTACCTCGTGTTTATTTACACACGCACACAAACACACTTTATTTACTTGTCTGCCTTTCTCTCTACTATCTTTCTTCTTCTTCTCTTCTTCTTCTTTCCTTTCTCCTCAACTCCAAATTTCAACCTTGGGTCATTCGACCTCATCTTCGCCATGGATCCGCGAAAACTCACTTACGACCTCACAATGTGGTTGTTCAACCTCATTATCAAACTTTTCTTCCGAGAAGTTCGACCAAGAGGTGCCCACAGAATACCAAAGCAAGGTCCAGTTATTTTTGTCGTCGCTCCTCATGCCAACCAAGTAAGACACGACATCAGTAAACACCTAAAAAGAAAGTTTGGCCAAATAAGAAAATTAAATAAATTATTATTATTATTATTATCTTTGCCAGTTTGTCGACCCCATTCTTGTCATGCGCGAATGTGGAAGACGTGTGTCATTTCTTATTGCCGAAAAGTCAATGCATCAACGTGGAATCGGCTTCTTTGCTCGTATGATCAACGCCAGTAAGTTTATACTTGTAATATATAAAGAAATAAAGAAAGAAATAAAAAAAAATCAAGTGAATTTATGTTTATTTATTAATCAACTTAATATTCTTGATTTTCCCCTTTTTATTTTATTTTTATTTATTTGCTCATTTATTTGTGTATATATCTATATATCTATATATCTATATTAGTTCCTGTTGTCCGTTCCCAAGATCTGGCTGTCCTCGGGAAAGGCAGAATTCAACTCCTGAACTGCAAGACCGAACCCTTCCGTATCACTGGCATCGACACTCAGTTTCTTTCACAACTCAAACCTCGAGACTCGATAGTACTTCCCAAGAATGTTGGCCAGGCTGAAGTGGTCGAGATTTTATCAGACACAGAACTTGTGATCAAAAAAGACTTTAAAGACCTCAAATCCCTCGAGTTGTTGACCTCAAACGATGGCACACCTTATAAATGCATGCCTCATATTGAACAAGATGCAGTCTACAAAAGTGTCCACGACGAACTCAACAATAATGGCTGTATTACGATATTCCCCGAAGGTGGTAGCCATGATCGTGCCGAAATGTTACCACTTAAAGGTAAAAAGAAAAGAGGAAGAAAACAGAGTCACTTGCATGGCAACAAAATGAAAATGAAAGTCAAAACTAACAACATATTGTGTATATACCTATAATTTTATATATAAAGCCGGCGTCACTTTGATGGCTCTTGGCGCTATGGCTAAATACCCTGGATTAGACGTCAAGATTGTTCCTTGTGGTATTTGAATATAATTTAGAAGATATACGAAACAAAACATATATCTAAATTTGTTTGCTTTTTTGTTTTCGTTTTCTTTTTTGTTTGCAAGGTCTGAATTACTTTCACGCCCATCGATTCCGTTCTCGCGCAGTAGTAGAGTTTGGAAACCCAATTACTATCCCAGCCAATCTTGTAGATAAATTTATTGCCGGTGGTGTAGAGAAGCGAGAGGCGTGCGGTAAACTTTTGGACACAATATATAATGCTCTCAAGAGTGTTACAGTTAATGCTGGAACATACGAAACTTTGATGGTATGTTATTTTTATTCGTTTATTTAATTTACATATCATATATATATATATAAATATACGCATGTTTAGAAGGACTGGGTAATCGATTTTAATTAACACTTGTCATTATAATCATAATCATTTGTTCTTTTCTTTCTTCTTTAGCTTATCCAAGCCGCCCGCCGCCTTTACAAACCTGCCCACCGCAAGCTACATATCTCACATGTCGTAGATCTCAACCGACGTTTCTTGATTGGATACAACCTTTTCAAAGATGATCCAAAAGTCATTGACCTCCAGCAACGAGTATTGGCATACAATCAACTTTTAAAATATCATGGTATTCAAGATCATCAGGTGTCAAAGACAGATCTCGGCGGACGTCATACACTGGCCATGCTTATCGAACGTCTATTCTTCTTAAGTTTACTTGGATTATGGGGATTCCCAGGGTAATTATAAAAATAAAGCGCCCGTGAGTTAATTAGAGTACAAGAAAATAACCTTTTTGTTTTATGTATACGTATCATAGTGCTGTATTGAATCTTCCAATAATGGTGGTTGCCAAGGTGATCAGTGAGAAAAAAGCTTCAGGTATGTTGGGGTTGTACGTGCATATTATCTTTAAAAAGTGGTGTGTGTACACACACACACATATATATAAACACCCCATACACTTTTACATATATGGTCAGTGATTTTGACAAGAATTTTTTTTTAAAAAAATGTTTGTAGCTGCTCTTCGTGGGTCGACTGTAAAGATTGCTGGTCGTGATGTCCTGGCAACTTGGAAGGTTCTGGTAGCTCTCGTACTGGTACCGACTCTCTACGCTTTTTACAGCTTTATTGTCTTTATGACCTTTTACAACTCTGACTTGGCTCCCAAGTGGAAGTTTATGATTCCGGGTACTGTCTGGGTTTTGTTGTGTTTCACCTCGTACGCCAGTCTTCGGTTTGGTGAAATTGGTCTCGACATCCTGAAGTCTCTCAAGCCTTTGGTCATGTCTCTTTTGGACCCTGATGGCGCAGAAATTCTTCGTCAAAGCCGAAGCAAACTATCACGTGATATTACCGACTTGATCAATGAGTATGGACCAAAGGCATTCCCTGACTTTGATGGTATGTGTCCAAACTAAGTCCTATTAATCGATATTCATTATAGAAAAGAAAAAGAACAAGTTAAATTAATTTGTGCAATCGATTTGTGTAGCTGAATACATCTCTCGCACTGCTCCTATGCTGAGTTCATCTAGCCGAACCGGCAGTAGTACCAGCAGCTTTAATCTTTCTACTGTCCAGAGCAAACTGCCCAAAATTAGAAGTGGTTTCTTTTTACAGGCTACTCGCATGGATTGGCTCGATGACAAACACATTTTTAATTGGGGAAGTCCCAAAGAACCTTCGGAAATGGATGATCTTAGTTTCCTTCACAGTGGCCATATAACTGGATGCAGTGGATCAGCCAGTGAATCACACACTCCAAATATCAATGGAATGAGCAGGTCTAACAGTTTCTGTGGAGGATCGTTCGAAATGCTGCGCATGGAAGCCCTTTCAACAACCACTACTACCACAAATACTGCCGAAACATCTGCAACCGTCACTCCACCTTCTCTCACCAAACGTCCGACATTTAAGATTGAAAATGTCGATGAAAATATTTCGGCGGAAGGCAAAGTGTACGAGGATGAAGGATACGCCGGTGATCAGGAAGAAGAGACTGGATTACAGATGAAGAAACGGTCTTGAACGGCTTCAATTTCTTTTTACCTTTTTTTTAAGAAAAAAATTCTGTAAAGAAACTCACTCGGGCGACAAACCTCAAGAAATCATAACATTACAACATAAACAGCTACATACACACACACCAACAATCAAACAATCAAACAAACAACAGCGTTTTTATTGCTGTGTAAATAGAACCTGTGTATTCATAGATAACCAAACCAAACCAAACCAAATATTATATATACATATACATATAAATAAAATGATTCCCATCAATACTCAAAGATGTATATATATATACTATTTGTTTTATTTATTTATTTGTTTGTTTTTTTTATATTGTTTAATAGCCATATATTTTTTCGTATGCTTCCTTGTTCTTCTTTTGATCTTCTGGTACATCTTCATGTACCCACTTTACAGCATTACTTTCCAGACCTCCAAGTTTCTGGAACACTTCCTTTGTCTGTTCATCAGCAGGCACAATTTTTCCGTTTCTGTCGATGTAGAAGTATGCCAGTCCAGGGTCTTGGATAGCTTTGTCTTTTGCAATCTGCCCCGATGAAGACTCTCTCACCTGACGCTGTAATTGGTCGATCTGAGCAGTGAGCTCAGCAATGGCCTTTCTCAACTCTTGTTCATCTTCTCCTTCATCTTCCTCAGACAACGAAACCTCAGACCCAACAACCTGGAATGTGTCTGTCTCCTCAGGGATGACCATGCTTGCAGCCTCGGTTGCTGCAACAATTGAAGTGTCGGACTCTACCTTGGTGTCCACTTTAACTTCAACCCATCCAGATGCTTTCTCTTGTTCGGTGGGCTCATCAGTTAAGGTATGGTCAGGTACAATTGGATCACACTTGATGGGGTAGGTTTCCGACTGTGCTTGGGATGACAAGACAAGTTCTTCACACAGACGAGGTGTCGAGATAACAATCTGGTATTGACAGGTTTTGATTTCTTGGAACATTGTAATCCTGTCGTGAACTTGCATATCGCAATGGTACTAGAAAAAAATATTCATATTTAAATATACAAATAATATCTACACACACACCACACACATATACATATATATTATCTTGATAAAATACTACTTACTTGTACTTCAATGCTACGAGGCTCTTTGGTAATATCACATTGAGTACCTCCTCCCCATTTCTGGACCAAGTATCTTTTGTCACCTACGTGGTGTAAGTCTGTTTTTGGAATATTTTTTGATATTTGTTGAACTGTTGTGCTTTGTTTGGCTGAATTTCTCTGAATCAGGTCAGAGCTCTCCGTGGTGCCTGGATAAAGCCCAAGGTAAAACGATGCCCCTTCGCGTCTAGTGTCTGGTTGTCCATTTTCACCTTGGGCAATTCTCTCTTCGTGAAACTGTCTTACATGCTGACCATGACAATATTCGTATGTCCAATACCCGTGTAACTACAGTAAGAAAATTTCGATTAATTAATTTATATTTATATATATTTATATATATTAGGTTTAAACATACAGTAAAGTAAAGACAGCCCTTTGAGAGAGGTTCAAGTAGTTGGAGACCGCGTTCGATACTTCCACGAGTATTTTCTTGTTTCATGTGCTCTTTGATTTGTCTCTGCCGTTTTTCTTTGTCTCCTTCGGCATCGACGTTGGGAATTTTGCACAAGAATGGTTGGCCATAAGCACTTATCATCACAACATTGTTATCGTCTTGTAATATGTCGTGTGTTTCCGAGCTCGTTGATATTTCTCCTGTAGTATCCTAAGTATAATAGTTTAGAATACTCGTGTGATTCATTTTCTCTTTTGTTTGTTTTTTGTTTTTGCTTTACCAAAAGAAAATGGGAGTTTATTCCTAATGACTTACGCTGATGCTATTGCCAAACACGACTGATTCAGGAATCTTGTTCTCCGACAGACTGACTCGATAGCGTGGATACGCAAGTACATCCTCGTATACAAATGAGGATGCAGCAGTGATTGAGACGAATGTCTGTAGGGCTAATAAAGCAATCAACTTGTTCATTATCACTACGCTTCCTTGCCCGCCAACTTTGAATTCCTGCGTTTATTTGTACTGTAGTAGTGTGACCATGAAATTTCTGACTCGGCATGCTACCATTCGCTCTGCATGTATATACATTTTTATAGGTATAGGTGTAGATATAGATATTGATATTGATACAATCTCTTTCCAGAAACTATTGGTGTAAAAATGTAATGTATTATAAACGTTTATGCTCTAAACAATCATCAAATATGAGCTGATGATATGTACAGAATACTTTCAAGTCACTGAGCAGCACTTTATTATTGATCATTTAAAATCCTCGGGGATACTATTTCCTCCTACAAAAGAGAATCTATTTTGAGCTCACTTCTTACCGCTGACTGGAAATACTCAATCGGATTAAGCTCAGGAGAATAGGGTAGAAGATAGACACAATCATATTTGCTACCCTCGATGTAAAGCTAAGCATTCCTGTTTTTATGGATATGATTATGGTCCAGCATCAACTAATGAGCTTTGAACTCTTCGTATATATCCATCGAATTCAAAGTAGTAGGAACAATGTTGAAGTGATGCCCAGTTATGGTCCAAACCTTGTATTTTCTGGCTCTATATAGGGCTTCTTTCTGTTTTTTTTTCTTGGAATTCACTGTACCTTTTGGGAGATTCACTTGCAGATTTATTGCACCAAAAGGAGATATGGCGCCAAGGATGGTCATCGCTTTGGATCTTGTTTTGGGTACAGTTACAACAGCCGGAGTTCTCTTTTTGAGACCAAGCTTAATTGCGTTTTATGCTGATGTGGAGAGCCGCTTCGTTTATGAAAATGTAGTTCAAAAAAAAAATCCATGTCGGTTTTCTGCCAACGAGTAACATTGTCCAATTATATACCTAGAACAGCGACTGACCCCCCTCTTTGTTGTAAAGATTTTTATTTCTTTGTACATAAAATTGATCTAAAAAAAAACTGTTTCTTTCCCAGAAATATGTCTTTCTTTTGAGGGACACCTTGGAAGATTTAGCTTTAAGTAAAGGTTCTGGAAAAGGAAAACAAATCAGGTGTGTTCAAAAGAAAGAAATTGATATTACTATTGATATTGATATAACTTTTCTTTACAGAATAGCTCTATATTCAGTTTTGTTTTCTTAAGAGTCACTGATAAAAAGGTGTAATGTAGATACTGTTTGTGTGGCCTACAGATTATTGAAGTATATTGTTTAATGTTATAGTGCAGCTCCGCTTAAAGGGTGTATACATTGTAAATTCGCACATTCTCTTTCTCTGTACTTATATTTATTTTCCCACCTATTGTGTGTGTGTGTTTATGTAATGGATCAAAGAAGCTTGCACTGGATGTAAAATGCATATACCGTGCTCTAAGGTCTAATAAACGTTTTGAGAGTCTAATAAAATATACTGGAAAGGTTTATTTTTTGATTGTTAGCTGAAAGTGTAAAGGAAATTCTTTTCATCCAATGACCGCCCAGTTTAGTCGTTCTTTATTTTCTTTGTTATATATTTCTTTATACAAGAGGTGTACAATGGTTTGAATATAAAACATGTCTCTAAAGAATAAATGCTATTGATGTCCTAATAGATTATGATTCGGCAAATTGATCCTTCATATACGTGCTGTGTATATTAGATCCCTCTAAACAAATATAAGAGAAAAAGCAGAAGAATACGCGTGTATATATGTGGGATACTCTTGATTGCAAAAAAATGGTGTACTTCTTGATCCTTTTTTGTTGTAAAATATGATACTTGATTGTATCGGGTTACTGCTGACATTCTTCTCCTGTTAGATGCCTTGGAACTAGATATACAAAGCCGCTATTTAAGCATTTGAAGTTTAGACAATTACCAAAAAGAAGAAGACGAGATTTCTTTCTTTCAATTTTTGTATTCGGAGCAAGTTTCCCAAGGCTGCCCTGCTCCTCTTTTTTTAATGTTCTGTCTTGACTGTCGCCCTATGGTTTGCAAATATTTCCATTTATTTATATATTTATTAGAGAAGGAAGCGCAAGGCTGATAATCATATCATATCATAACTAGCTAAAATCAATTTGTTAATCTTGCTTCTTGAATAGATTACATTATCCTCGGTTATCCCACTCATTCCATTCTACACTCCACTCCACTCCCCTCCACTCGATTTTACTTTACCCAATACACACACACACAGTCAGCTTATTGACAAGAAATTCCACCACTATATTCATACCAAACCCAAACCCAACCAAATCCAAAAAATGAATTAAAAAAAATTGTTCTTCCTCCCTCACCCCTCCCCTACTGTCTTCACCTTGATGACTTGGAAACTTTTTTTTTTTATAATTTTATTTTTATTTTTATTTTTATTTTATTTTATTTTATTTTATTTTATTTTATTTTGTCGCTGAGTCGAGTGGGAAGCCTAGAGTCGCCTCTTTTTATATATTTTTTATATATATATTTATATATTTCGTCCACAGGCTATTGCCACACAGTCACACCCAGAACAACACAACTTACAACGCTTTCGTCGTTGTCGCGGTGACCACTTTGAGTTTCGACAAAAGTGTAAAGACCTCCCCTCCCTCCTCTCATTACCTCTTTAGCATGATCATCTGCAAGCCAGACTGGATTACTCACACCGGTACAAAATACATATTCTTATATATACAATATATAAATACATTAGTCTCTTTCTTTCTTTATAAGTACCTATAGATAAATAAATAAAAGATATTAACGAACCAATTTTACATGTACACATACACGTAGAAAATACAAAGAGTGTGAGGTCCAAAAGGCAGGCCATTTACTCCATCCATGCTCATCCAGACGGCAAACGACTTGCTACAGGCGGCATGGGTAAAGTACAGCAATTCATTAGCGTTCTCTACAAAAGAAGAGGAATCAAAAAAAGAGATAGATTAAGAGATGCTGAGTTTCTTATATATACATATATGTATATAATTATTAATATTAATATTAAATTTTATATATTTATATTTATATTTATTTATATATTTATATATATATTTATTTATATATATATATATAATATATATATATAAAATCAAAAACCAAATAATAATAATAATAATAATAATCAAAAACCAAAAAAGATATGAAGATTAGAATATGGAATACTGAACCAATACTGAATGAAAAGGCTGAGGTTGACCCTCAATGTCATAAGCTTCTCAGTACACTGACCCTGCATAGTGGTAAGTAATATACTACACTATACTACTATATTAGAATATAGTACATAAATCACTTCGTTTTTTATAGATAACTTAAAATAATAGTAATAATAACAGCAATTATAGTAGCTGTAATAAGTGTAATGATTGTAATAAAGATAAGAATAAGAAGGGCCATAATTCATTATTTCAATATATATATATCTAATTATATATTTACATATAAAAATGTATATATCACAAGATTCTTCTTTTATTAAAGATGTATCTTAAAGCTATATAATTAATAATTAATAATTAATAATTATACGCACCTTTTATGAATATATATATATATAATTGATGCTAAATAAATGATAATTGTAATAATTTTAATAATAATAATCATAATAATCTCTCTTTATCATCCTATTATCCTTCTGTATTTGACAGGTGCTGTTCTATGTGTACGTTGGTCAAATAGTGGGAAATACCTGGCATCTGGCTCAGATACAGATAACACGATCATCATTTGGGAATTGGATGAGTAAGAAAAAAAAAGTATACTTCTTTCTCTTACCATCATAAGAAAAATAATGACTAACTTTCCTTACCGCAAAATCAACAATCGATCAACTTATCCAGGCAACCAACCACTCTTACACCCTTTGGTACTCATGACGTTAATCGTGAAACATGGAGAGCTGCCCATTATCTACGAAACCACAAATCTGGTAAATAATATTATACCTATATATCTTTCTTTCTTTCTTTCTTTCTTTTTCAACAATTCAAAATAATAACACTATATATATAGATGTCCAGGACTTGGCATGGTCCAAAGACGACAAGTATCTGGCGTCATGTGGCGTGGACGGCTTGGTGATTGTTTGGGATGGAAAGACACTAGGTAAAAATGGTACTAATCAACAATATGATATTGCATATGAGTAAGTATTCAAAGTATCAATAATATATAATTGATTGGGTCCAGGTCAAGTCCATGTAATTGATCAACACAACGGAATCGTCAAAGGCGTTGCATGGGATCCAGCAGGTCAATATCTTGCATCCCAGGCAGACGACAAGTCAACCAAAATTTGGCGAACAAAGGACTGGGGTCTTGAGAAAGAAATAGTCAATCCTTTTATAAATGCACCAGAAATCACATTATTCCGTCGCATAAGGTAAGCACAGATAGCACACACGTATATCTATTAAAGAATATCATATCTAATAATCCTTTTCTTTCATTTACATCGATCATGTAGCTGGTCTCCCGTAGGATCTCACTTGGTAACAGCCAATGCAGTAAACGGTCCTGGATGTGTCGCATCTATTGTCGATCGAGGTGACTGGGAACCAAAAATGTCTTTGTTTGGTCATGAAACTCCCGTTGTAGTCTCGGTAAGCTTCTTCTTCTTCTTCTACTACTAGAAAAACGCACGGCTCATGTCACACAAAGCTCACAACTAAAAAAAATCTCTCTCTAGAAATTCAACCCCAATATATTTTATTCACAAAGTTCAACCTCTCAAAATTCACTTGTTGCCTTGTGTGCCACAGGCAGTCATGATGGTAGCTTGTCTGTTTGGTCTACAGAGCACTCGGTACCAATTTGTGTGGTCGAAGAATTCTTTAGTATGAGTGTTTATGACTTGACATGGTATGTGAGAGAAAAAAAAAGTGTATGGTTGTGTACATGTGGACTTTATTAAAAAAACATGAAAATGAAAATTAAACTTCTTTTGCAGGTCTCCTGATGGACAAACACTCTATGCATGTTCAGAGGATGGCACAGTGGGATTCGTGAGACTTGTGGGATACATGCCACCCACAGCACCAGAATCAGAAATTGTAAGTGTTGGATTTGATTTTTGATAGATTTTCATATTGAACAAAAAAAATACCCTATCCCCCTTAACCTCAATTTATCTCAATATATCTTGCTGATACATCGAGTTGTTTCTAGAAAAATGCGTTAGTAAAACTGGGCTATGGACAGCCTTCGATGATATTAGCCGAATCTCCACTACAGCTTGATATGGAAGAGAATAACGCAATTGCAACCAAGATAGCATCTTCAAAGCGGATAGCAGGAATAATGGGAGATGTCACTCCAAGAAAGTCAGTCGAAGAACCACAAAAACCCTTTTCAACCTCTTTGGAGCCAAGTAAGTATGGAATAACGTTGGGTGTGTTTGATTATTAAGGGAAACATGGTCATTAACCCATACTTAGCATTATCATCAGGGACCATCAAATCTTCGTCTAGTTCAGTAACTACACCATTCCATCAGATAGAGGTAGTAAAGGATGGCAAACGCCGAATACAGCCATTCCAGGTGTCCTCGAATGCCTCCCATAATCCAGGCTTCAATTTACTTGCCGAGAAAACCAATAACCAAAACAAGGTATATAAATAAAATAATAGGAATAATAAAAAATAATACTGTTAACACCTCTCTCTTCCCTCTATTGATCTATTTTTTTTTATGTTTTCATATTTTAAGAAAGCTAGGATGGAAATCCATCCACCCAACACTCCCCCTCCAACCCGTCAAGGCATCAGTGTTGATTATACAGATCCTTCTGTATATATTCCCATACATGGCCTTGGTACTCTGCTTACAGACAATAGAAAGTCTTCTGCAGCAGATTCTTCTGGAGATATTCCATCCGTTGTCAGAACTAGACCGCAATGGTCAGACGTGGCATCTATCCCACACGCCGTGCTTGAGAGCAGAGTGAAACTGGCCACCCCCACAGTTCGTTCCAGAATCTTACAAAATTTTGGCACCGAAGGACATGTGAGAGTAATGGAAGTCCAGAACAATTTGCACCAAGGGAAACACAAGGAACTTTCAAGGATTACCGTCAGTGCAGATGGAGTGGCTATTTGGGAAGATTGTTTACCGAGTCCAGTACTATTGATGACAGGAAATCACAAATATTCTGCAGTTGGATGTGAAAATCGTACTATACATATATACTCTCCTTCTGGAATAAGGTACATTTATTTACATATACATTATTCCATTTTCATTTTAAGAAGGCTAAAAAAAGAAGAAACAACTGTAATCCTTAGATTGTCTCCTCCCAAGATTCTAGAAAGTACACCTGTAATCTTACACTGCTTTGAACAGTGGCTATTGTGCTTAACGGCAACTGGACTATTAACTACATGGCAAGTTCAATACAAAAAATACTATATACAAAAGAACGTTTTCATTAATTAATCCAAATGTACGTACGAATGTACATAAATATGTGTGTATGATCCGTTCTTCTATTCATTTTGATAACAGGGATGTACCGAAAAGAAAGAGGCACATAGATTCTGTCTCAATTGCACCTATATTGGGAGAGTGTCAATCACCATCAGATAAGACGTTGGCACCCAGAATTAAAAATGTACGGATTCGCAAGAATGGTGTGGTGCTCTTGATCACTGACCAGCACCAAGCATTTACGTACGACATTGTGGGGAGAGATTGGGTGTGTATCAGTGATGCCTGGTACACAGACTCAGATTTTTGGAACCCTACCTCGCGTTCTTCTACTTCTCCTGAAAAATACCCTCTGGGATGGCTAACAGCATCAATTGCAGCACAACAATCATCAGACTCTACACTAGACATTGATGCAGCTGTTATAAATGAAGACCTTAGAGATACTATGACTCTGAGTCACATCGAGGTAATATTTGATTACGACTCTTACTATCATTATTGCTATTCTAATCACACAAATTCAAATAGATACAATTGGAAGTTGCAGTTCTATTGGATTCGCCAGAAGAATACAACCAGTGGCTGATATACTATGCAAAACGACTTACAAAAACAAATGCCAAGAAAAAGATTGAAGAGTTGCTTGGCCGGTTGGCTGGCCCACCTTTTATGTAAATAACAATGCTTGTACAAAGATATATATATATATGTGTATACGAACAAAAAGACTAATATTTGTTTCCACAGTCCTGAAAACGAGGCATGGGAGCCAAATGTATTAGACACACTGTCCAAAAAGGATTTGCTAAAACAAATCCTACCAATATTTGGTAAGTAGAAAAAAAAATCAACAGCAGCAACACAAACGTACAATTGTAATTACAAGACATATTTCTGATCTGCATTCTAACACAAATATATACAGCTTCCAATAGGCAATTACAACGAACTGTACAAGAATATAGGGAATGTACTTAAGCTCGGAGAGTCCTTCCTCTGAGGATTATAAACAAACAAACAAAAAGACCAAAAACAAAATAAAACTCGTCAACTGTAGTTAGAATTTGTATGCTAATAGCACACAATATGTCTGAAACCATTTTTAAATAAACATTTAAATCGATTATATACATACATACACACATACACATATTCTTTTTTTTTTCAATGTTCAAGCCCTGTAAGTTTTAAGCAGGTTAATAGATAGTATTGCCCGGTGTACAATAATTAAACAGATTGTGACAAAAAGGGAATCATTGTGGCATTCCCGTTTGTGATTAACCGGGCAGAACTTCATTTTACAATTATGGAATAAGCATTTTAAGTTTAAGAAATAATTTAGTAGTGTTTTGTTGAATAAGTTTTCTAGAATGAATGCATATATTTATATCACTAATACAGTTGAGCTAATTTAATGTGGTAAAATGTATATTATTTGCGAAATGGGTGTTTGTGTTTGTGTATGTGTGTATGTGTATATGTTTGACAGAGAAAAATTATATGATGATGACAATAATAGTAATAGTAGTAATAGTGATAGTAATAATAGTAATAATAATAATAATAATAATAATAATAAATATATATATATATATGTATATATATGTATATTCGTATGTACACATGCATTTTATTCTTCGCGAAGTTCCAGCAACATCTTCTCAAGTCGTTCCAGCTCCTCTTGTTCATTTTGCTTTCTAGCCTCTCCGTTGGACCGCTTGTATGTCACACGGACTTTCATTGGGTTTTCAGGCATGTAGCGTGGTCGATTAATGGTCTTGGAAATCATTGTGTCGGTTCCAAATTCAGCCTTCATCAGGAACTCGAGTTCCTTCTCCATCTGTTCTTTGTGTGGTAATTTTTTCGGCTCAGGACTCAGTACTGGTGGCGGCTCTACAGTTTGTTTTGGTGGCTTTGAAAGATATATTTCCTCAGTCTCTTCATCATCATCCGAGAACTCAAAATGATGAGCTGGTTTTGTCTCAGTGTCTACAGAATTTCCACTTGCGCCCTTGAGGCGTGAGACAAGATTCATTTTTTGTTTTTTAGGACGATTTGAGCGTATAGATTGTACTGGTGGAAGTGGAGGTACATGGTGACTAGAGTAAGTCGGTTGATGATTGTAATATAAGGATGATGTTTGTTGTTGGGGTTGAGTGTAAGGCTGTAACTGCGGTTGGGATGGATTGCTAGGAGCAAAATTAAATGGATGTGGATAAGTAGTGTACACAAAAGGGATTGGCCATGTTTGTAAAGGAAATTGGTTGTCATTGGTAAAGAAAGACGTGTTTGTGCTGGTAGTGGGCGTTGGCGTGTGTAAGTGGGTGGGTGTAGATGTATAAGTTGACATAGAATTAGATCGTCCCACACATGTGTCGTGCGAGGTTATGATAGATGAATTATATGATCCAATGGGTGTGTAAGGTTGTGTTGGCCTTCCAAAAGACATGCAACTTGTAGTAGGTGGGATTGGAGCCGAGAGTTGATATGTGCGCGTTGTTTGGAAAGGCTGTGATTGTACAGATACTTGTTTACTTGGTGAGATGTATGTTTCTAAGAGAGTGGTGGCTGGTTTAGGTTTTATCACTATAGGCTTTGGTCCCACTGGCTTTACACCATTAGGTTTTGGGCAGAAAGTAGTTTGTGATGTACGTTTTACAATGTTTGACTTTGATTTAGGTTTTCGTGGACGTGCTTTTGAGGGAGTTTGTTGTGATTCGTTGGTAGCATGCGGCCGTTCAGTAGCAACCATGAGCTCTACTTCAAGTGTGTCGTCTTCATCTTCTGGGAAATCAAAGATGTCTAAATCATCAGCAGATTTTGGATTGATCGCGGGGTCGATCACCGGCAGAACTGGATTGGATGGTGCGTCGAATACACTTTCGAGATCATTATTACTTGAGGGGCGTGCCTTACGCTTGTAAGTAATAGCAGGTTTTTTGTGCAATCCAAAGTGCGTGAACATCAAGACAAGGCGATCATATATTTCTAAAAGGAAGAGGACAAAAAACAAAATTGAATACGCGACCGCGTAACTCAGTTTTTTTTTTACATTCAATCTAAAAACGCGAATGCACGTGATTAATTGAGTACGATAAAATAAAATATTGAGTATGTATAAGCTATCCACTACACGGCTTGTTTGTTTTTAGCATTTTTTTTTCTATCATAGTGTAAATGGCTTGAAAAACCATAATATGCTTTTTTTATAGAAATAAAGTTTTACAGTGAAAATATAGTGCGTGACTTTAAATTATATATATGAAATCAAAAAGGCTTGTCGCACAAAGCTTAGTATATGATTGTCTAAAATACATTTAAAGATTCCCGGCTTTTATTACTAGAGTTTTATTTATTTGCTTTCAATAGACTCGAGTACACTCTGCGCTGGTGATGTTATGTATTAAAGTAAAGAATACAGGCTAATAAATCCATGTAAAATAATTTAACCCAAAAATCATCCAATGAGTAAAAACGACTGACACTTTGAATAAATAATCATAGTTATGCATTATTTGTAAAATGTATTTTAAAATAAAGCGCATACCTAGGGGTGTATTTTGGCCTTTTGAGTTAAACTAATAACAAAACAATAAAGAAGAATTGTAATTGAGACACATGCATATATATAAAGGGAGAAAAGAAATACTTGTTCAAAAAGCCAACATTCAAACAACCCTTTAAACCCGGACAATCTTGCAAAGATATCTACTAAAGTCTTCAATAAGGCCCTTTATAAAAAAAAGTCTCTACAGCCATAGAAAAGGTTCATATTGATTTTGCTACCAAAAAAAAAGCAATAATTTGTTCTATTCAGGCTACATTCGTAAATGACTTGAACGGTTTGTTTTCCCGTCTAAGTTTGTACTGATCATGTTTCACCCTCAATATACCAAATCTGCCATGTATCTCTATTTTCTTTCTACTTCTAGACAGTTTGGGGGACACGTATTACTTCAAAGAGATCAACAACACTACACTTTCACTTCTTCACTCCGAAAGAAAGATGGAATTTTATTTAGCTTGGTCTTGATATCGGTCCACCTCACTCTTAGCAAACAAAATCAGTATAATAGTATGGATTCTAGACTACATCAGTACAATAAAAAGCTCACATTATAATATTTGTGTTTATGAAAGGTTGCAACGATACATGCTTTGAGACTCTTCTGTTGTGCTTGAAGATATCTTGGCTTAAATTGAATTATATTGCCGCAGGTTATTTTATCGATTGTACCTATAGTTATTAGGATATATCCAATCACCCTGGACATAAGGTATAGTAAGGGTTCAGATGTTAATAGCTTAAGTACTTTTCGAAGATGCTCCAATAATGATGGATCAGATATACGGGAATTATATTCCAGATAAAGTCTTTATATTGAACAATCATTTATATCAACACCTTTGACAGATCCTTATACCCAGGTTATTATACAATATTGGATACAGCAGTACCCCAAATACAACACACCATGTTGTATAGGGTCACACACACCACAGAATTCCATATCTACAAAGACCGTTCTTGTACTCTATTGAAAGTACCAGCGATCCTAATTGCATACTATGCTGACCCATAGAATATAATCAAATTTCAGACTTTTGATCATTAAATTCAACCTTGCACGCCTATACCAACCAGCTTAATAAATGTCAAGATAAATATTTGTAATATTAATAGCTGTATACTGGGTGGCATACGAGGAACACACTTCGGGTATAAGCATAAGGCTACTGTATTTGTCGCCAATAGTTAAACTGCTCTAAATGTCATACACATAAGAGAGTTTGAAGCTGAACTAAATTTAGCTCACTTAGCTTATCCAACTTTTAAATATCCCTCCAAAAAACATAAATAAAATCTTGATAAGGACAGTCATCCTTGACCTTGACAGTGTATATACACAAAAATCAATTGCCCGGAAGTAATTTTTACAACAGGAGTTTATAAGACATGGTCATGTCCAAAAACCAGCAGCGTGATCATTGACATTTGTCGTGGACGCAAAAAGAGGGACATACAGTAATAAATAATGGTACATAAAAGCTTATACACATGTGACCCATGCCGGTGGCTGATAGCCAAATTATAAATATGTTAACACATACAATTCGTAGTAAGTACATGCTCAAAGAGACTAGAATGTCTTTGATCCTGGATAAAGATGGGAACATTGATCGTTAGCCTTGCCTGTGAAAAGACCAGACGGCTACAGTCTTCAGAAGGTACGTTTTTAAAAAATATTGTATACTTGTTGAGCTATATTGAGCACCGACAATTTATTTCTTGTTCCTGAGTATGGATAACCTTGGATGGATTGATGATCAAACTAGTGTTGGACCTCAGTATTTCATTTTTGCTGTGTACTGGTTTTGACATGTTGTCTTATATCTTGCTACTGACAGTTTTACATATGATAAAAGCCTGGGATTTGACTAGCAAAATGGATTTATATTGGTCATGATTCGTATTTAACGTGTATGTTGATCAAAGCAGTTTGTGAGACAGCAGTAAAGAAGTGTATAAAGTATTGATGGTATGTGGAAGAGAGTTGTTTTGACGCGTTCTGTTTGGATAGGTGTTTTTTTTATAAAACTCATGACGTCTCAATCATGAGTTGCTGTTCTTTTTTATTATTTTTATTATGATAGTTTGATAATATATTATAAAATTCGGTTTTTTTCTTATTCCTTTTTCGGTTTTCTTTTATCTTTTAGCCTTGACAACATGTATATATTATTACTATTTTACTTCTTTATTTAATATCTATGCTTAAAATATGGGTTTTGGGTGTTAAAGAAGTATCACTTACATTCTGAAGGATGAGCTGTGCAGGCACTTGCTTTACCTTTTCTTTACTACATTTCATGTCATATGTGGCCCGTGCTGCCTGTGTATTATTGTATGTGTCACGGAGCTTAGAGGAACAATGTTGCAGCATAGGTCGGAACTTAACTTTATAATGATAGTGTTTAAATGAAGACTTCCGATTCGTTGAGTATATTTATTGAAATATTGGGTTGCTATGTAAATTTAAATGTTTGGTTTGCAAAACAAAGTCGTTTGCTATGCATTCTTTCTTTCTTTCCTTTTTATTTTCTGTAGCAATTATACTAATTAAGCCCGTGCTCTCAGAAAAATTGCTAGTTGATACATTATGTATGCCTCCGTATCTGACTTAGCTATGGTATCGATATAAACAATGCTAATCGGCTAGTTATTTTACTATAAAAAAGAAATGTAAAGCTATTTGTATTTACCGCAAGTATTTGTTTTAGTTTTAAAGTTCATATTGGGGTTATTTGTCTTTCTTTTTTTTTTAGAAAGTTTAACCTCTTGTATAAGAAAGTTATTGGTAATACAATCTGATGGTACATAATATAAGAAATTGCCATTTATTATCGGAACATTATGAATATACGTTTAAAGCTAGAAAGACAGATATCAATTATTATCACAGACAAGTAATTTCTTTCAAAAAATAAAGCATTAACTGCTATATCCCTTCTTTATATCTCTTATTGAAATTGTAGTATATAACATTAAGCCAACAGAAAGGCGTTAAGCAAGCCCAGAATTTTATTTATTTATCAAAGACAACGAATAAGTAATATTATTATAAACTTACTACTTGCTCAAATTTCCAATGAGAGCGCTATACCTAAACAAACCTAGTACAGAGCAATTGACGTTTAAAGGGATTATTGAATTGGTTTGGCTTAGAGGAAAAGATATACTACAAGAAGCACAAATGAACAAGACTAAACTTTCTTATTTCTAGAGACGGAAACACAAGGCTGTGTGGATATACTGCAAAAAGAAAAGAGTCGTTGCATTAAATTAAAGGTGTGTTTTAGTAAAAGACTTATTATAGTCTGAGGTAGTAAGTGTGGGAACAATCAGTAGATGCTTTGCATTCTATCAATAAGAAAGTTTTCTTTTTCAAAAAAAAAGTATATAAACCTTTTTAGAGTGAAGCTTACCTTACTTTACGAAGCATTTGATAGAGGTTATGATCAAAATTGTACTCAACGAGATTAAAATTCTCTGTGCCAAAAAGACTAGATTCTAGTATTGCCAGAAATATGTAGACATATACTAAACCCATTTTGAGGAAAAGGCTACTAACAAAGCCAGACACCTATAAGGGATTTGATAAGACAATCCATAAAAAGTGTAACAGTTTTCCGGTTAAAGTGGGCAAGATAAATATTATGATTAGAACTACTCTAATAGCCTATTTAGAAAAGTCAAATAGGGAGTCAAGACAATAATATTAATCCATTCATATATATATATATACTTTTCCTTTTACTTTTACTTTTTATTAAAATATGTACAAACTATTAGTAACGCATTAGTTTACACTCATTGAGTTAAGATCAATACCACAATGATCAACAATTATACTTTTTTCTTTATAAATACTCGAGACTTATTTTAGGCTATATTCAGTGAATGAAAAGATCCCAGGTTGGTCGAGGCTCAAAAAGCTTTATTTTATCATAGTCGAAATCTAATACTATTTCATTTTGCAGAAAACATCACTTTCCGAAATCACCTTCTCAGTATTATTTTTAAACTTTTACAATCGAATTCTTCTATAGAAGAGGAATTCAATCGTAAATGTTCAAAAGAGGTTCAAGGGAAAGAAATCCAGCTTTTAAGCTTTTAGACATATTGCACTGCAATCAAGACGTGTGTATATATAAATATTGAAAACTGAAAAACTGGAAAACACTATGAAATCGACAAATGTGTCAAGCTAATTTGGCGGAGGATTTTAACATTTTGTCAAAATTCATTATTTTCCAGATTTGTGAGGCGTTACTATATGACCAGCAGAAGATGTTCCGGAGAGTCTCCGTGCGAGATAAAAAAAGAGAAACATTCTAGTCTGATTATCTACAGAGCAATACCCAAGATACCTCCCCCCTTTCTTTTTGTTAAGCTATTACATTCTCTGGACATTTTTTTCTTTAGTAAATTATTGCTTTATTAGTATTATTATTGTATTGGGTTGAAGATGTTGAAGAAGCTGTAAAAAGTGTTTTGTGTTGGTTGTAAAAAAATACGGTGGGGTAAAAGTGGAGTATTTTTTTTAAAAAAAAATGTGGCTTTACTTTTGAGCTACAGTAATAGCAATATATATAATAGCGCTTAATCAAAATTCAATCTTAAAACAACCCTTAAATCTTGGAAAATCTTGTAAAAATCTCTTACTAAAATCGCCTTTCTATTTTTTACCATAGTGTATTGTATAATAAAAAAAAATGCTCTAGAGAAAATACTGTTATTATATATATTATCTTTATGCATCTTATGCAATTAATTTCATAGACTCGTTTGCATGTGTGTATGAGAATGTAAATAGAGCTTTTAAAATTAAATGGAAAAATATTGATGAAGATACATTATATAGAATAATTAACCCTATCAAGTAACCAACAATAAAAAGAAGAAGCCATTTCAGTATAAATGTGTGTGACTGGAGTGCATAAGTTATCCAAACCAATCCAAACCAGTTGTCATGGAAAAGCTGTTATTTTTTTTTTGGCTTTAATAAAGTCCTTGACAACCAAAATCCAACATTTATCAATACGTTTGAGAACCTTTTATTCCCTTTGAACACAGCTTCACATGAAGGGAAAAGATAATATAGCAATGCTTTATGGAGAAGCATTTAAGACCAGCTGGAATGAGACAGAAAATGAGACTTTGATGGCAAGTCAATGTAGATTGTCAAATATGATTCTACATCATTACCACCTTTAAGATATATATATATATATAATTGTATACTAAATCTTCTATAGAATATTTCAGAGTTTATTGGAAATATCGACAATAATAAAAGAAAGAACAAATTTTGTCTAGACGAAACTGTGTGACAATAGCCGTATTGTAAATTTACACGCATGTTTAGCAGAAAAGACTATTGTGCTTTGTGTTTTTGTTTTTGACAACAAATGTGTTACTTTAGTTGACTTGGCAACCATTTTTTTTCTTCCTCTCTCTCTTTTTGTTCCCTTGGTACAAAGAATTACCCGAACCACTACAAACACTACCATCACCAAGAAATACCCGGTTTTTTTTATTCTTCCTCCAAAGAATCAGATCTTCTGTGGTCCATATTACTTTTCGGCTTTTTCAGCGCCTCAATACACTCCTCCCGCATTCCCGATCAAGGTTCTATTGAGCTGTCCCTGGGCTTATTACCTCTTTGTACACACAGTGTATAAATAAGTTTTTTTTTTTTAAAAAAAAAAACAAAAAACAAAAAAAAAACAGGCTGAGTGAGAAAAAAATAACCAATTTGAATACGTTTAGAGTATTTTTCGTTTACAAAAGCGTAGGTATAAGCGACATTCTTTTTTTTTTGTTCGTTTGTGGTAATTAGGCTACACAAGTATATGTCTCAATTCGGTAATAAATCTATATATCAATCTGTATGCCTTCCTATATTCCTGCCTTTCAGTCTTCCTGTATATCAGGTTAAAAATATACATACAGAATGGCAATTTGTACTCTCTTGGTTACTTGATCTTCTTTTTTTTTAACATGAAATAATGTGTATTGAATATTAGATAAATGGGTGCAATTTTGATTATAATATATTGAGCAAGCGATTTAATTGACTGCTCGGTTGATTAATTAGATGATTATTAATACAACCTAGTCAAAAAAAAAGTGTATTTGATTTCAGTCCAACCAAAAGCATTTTATTTTAAGAGTTAGACAAAGAAAGAACGATGTATTTTGGTATTTCAGCCTTTCTTCTTTTTTTAAGCCTTGGATCTTGGAAAAAGATGTAGGCAAAGCCACGACCCCCCCCTCTTGAGTAACCCCATTTGAAAAAAAGAAAATTGGATTTGAGTTTGAGTTTAAGAGTGAAAATTGTGCTCTAGACTGACAGAGCCGAAAAGATATCAAGTATCTTCAATCGACAAACAAGATACTTTAATAGTTAGATATCAATACATTGCATTAATATTTGTACTTTGTACTTGTACTTGTAAAGACAGCCAAATTGTATCTATATATTTATATACCTATATACCTTATATGTATTTATAGTATATTTTGATTATATTTCATTCTTTTCATTTCATTTAATGAAAATCATAAGAAAAATTCACCAATATACCTTGTGTTTAACAATTGGTTTTCTTTTATATGATAGAGTTATTTGGACTTATTCCCCCCTCCTTTTATTTATGTGTTTATTCTGTTCATTGTATGTATGCATGCATGGTTTTGTACCGCCACGTCCCCCCCTCCGCCCCCCCTCCCCTCATTGCCTCCTCCTTCTCTCCCTTCTCCTTCCCCTTTCTCCTCTTATGTCCTCTACTAAATTAGACTTTGATGATCTTCAAAAAAAGAAGAGCCCTTTTTTTTTGTATATATCTATTTATCTTGAATTTACTCAAACTCAGATTTATTTGCTGGTGGCAAACATGAATAAAAGAAAGAAAGAAAAAAGAAGGAATTCAATGTGTATGTATATATAGTTTATAAAAATAAAATAAAAACACAAATTCATGCGAAAGTATAATTTCTTCAAGACTTTTTATTTATCTGATTTGTCTTTGTAGAATATACAACAAAAACGGTTGTTTACATATAGAGATTGTTATTTTAAAACGAAACAATAAATAAATAAATAAATAGAAAAATAAAAGGCCGTGTACGGATGTGTACAAAGAAGAAGTGTCGCATTGAACCAAATTGAATCCATTAACTGCTCTGGATACTCAATTTACGAGCGTGGCTTTCGAGAGATGTGCCTACAGAGGGTAGCAAAAAGATATTGAAGTATAATAAAGTACAAGATAGTAAGGTATGTTTTGACATGATAGTCAAGCCAAATCCACCAACAAGTATACATAATATAAAGAAACAAAAGGTAAGTCAATATGCAGTTTTTTGTTTTTTTTTGTTTTGCTTTGTTTTATCTACTCTCAACTGACGTACCAACTATTGTTATGTATTGGTTGCACCGAGTGATGTTGAATGTGGGTTTTTCATGATTTGTAAAGTCTATCAATTGTTGGGATTCATCAATAACACACGCTGCCCAGTAATCGACTCGAGATATTATTTCGGCTGGATCAGATGTGAGAGACTTATGGGTAAAAAGAACCGCATGACATTTTATGCCGGATCGTCCACCTTGTGCAGCACCAGCACCAGCACCAGCACCAACACTAGAACTAGCACTAGCACTAGCACTAGCAGAAGATCCTGTTCGAAAGATCTCGTATTCAGATGCTGTCCTGCAGCTAGCTTCGGAACCATAGTAGCCAGCAACGCTGAGATCAGGGGCCCATTTCTTAAATGCATCGAGCCACTTGGTCAATGAAGATTCCGAGACAACAATTGCGAATGGATAAATGTCGAATTTCTTGAAGAGGTGATACAGAAAGATGATCGTCTGGATCGTCTTGCCTAAGTGTAGAAGATCATCACAGGATATATATATATACATAAAACAAAGACAATTGGTTAGAAGCAAGGCTAATTATTATTCCACAAAAAAAAAGAAAGAAATACAATTGGCTCTATCTTTCTTTTCTTTCTCTATATATTTTTTTTTCTTTCTAGCTTTAGATCGTCATATAAAATGTATGTACCAAATCCGGAATTGTCGACATGTACATATAGTTTGTTGAGCAGCCATTGCTGTAAGAGCCAACTAAGCATAATGTGTAAGTTGACGCATTTGTTTATGTGCGAGAGTAAAATAAATAAGAGTGATTCTTACTTTATATCACCAAGTTGATGTTTGAGTAACCGGCCTCCTGTTATGTAATCCGGTTCTATCTTCAGTTGATGGTTTGGAAAGTCTTTGTCTGTTTGGACCGATCTAATGGCTAGTATGCGTTTTTCGAGATCGTGAGGTGTTTTGATTCTACGCACACGCTCCCACTGATATAATGCCCGCCTATATGCAGGATAGAGATCCGAGTAATCTGGTGGCGGAGTGTCCCAACAAGCTACAAAGAATAATAAAAAAAAATAGATAGATAGATAAATAAATATAAAGAGAATTTAATAGAGTATTCAATGTTGATAAATTTCATTCATTGATTCAATCAAAAAGGGGAGTTTGAGTTTGAGTTTGAGTGCCAATGTGAATATGAATATGAATTTTGATCAATATATATATGAATAGATGAATAGATAGATCAAAATCAATAGTAGTAACAAAAAGGTAATAATGAATTTAATGGAATTTGGTTTAATTGATTTAATTGATTTGATTTATTAAATTTTACTTGCCTTCATCATAGGGTAAATTACAAAACTTTGCAAAGACTCGGGAAATGACATATCTGCCTTGGATTTGAAAGTGTTCAATGTCGAGGATGCTCTCGATCATCATCCAGGATCTTGGCACTAAGGTCTGTTCAGACAGGGGGGGACGGACAAAATCAAATTTGCATGCATCTCGATAGAGCGATGGCTCGACTCTGGCCAACCAGGTTGCAGGCACCCAGGTAAGATGTCTAAATGACATGGTTTTCCACTTCACAAGGAACTCCCGAAACTGG